TATATACACATAGATATATACACATAGATATACACACATAGATATATATATATATATACACATATATATAGTCCTTCTTGATGTGTTGTCTATAATTTTTATTTAATTACTATTTTATGTGGCATTGTGACACACTTACTTGCTTAGCTACTTTTATTGGTTTTTTTTTTCCTGTGAAATCAATGAAAACTTAAAGAAGTACTATTCCAAACATTAACAATTTTAATTTGAAATTCAGGGCCGCCCTAAAGGTGTCACTCCGAAATACAGCTTGAAGCCTCTTGTGCCTAGGATATCAGAACTTCTTGGAGTTGATGTAAGCCTTTCTAAAAATTCTTAATTTCAGTGGTAGCAATTTTTTATTTCAATTATTTTTCTTTTGCTTTTTTTATTTTTATTTTTTCTGTAATAACATAGGTTGAAATGGCCAATGATTCCATTGGCGAGGAAGTGGAGAAAATTGTCGCTGCATTACCTGATGGTGGCGTTGTTCTTCTTGAGAATGTGAGATTCCATAAGGAAGAAGAGAAGAATGATCCGGAGTTTGCAAAGAAGCTTGCTTCTCTTGCTGATCTCTATGTTAATGATGCCTTTGGAACCGCTCACAGAGCTCATGCTTCCACAGAGGGTGTTGCAAAGTACTTGAAACCTGCTGTTGCTGGCTTCCTGATGCAGAAGGTATGATGCAGTCTTCTCTTCGGTAATTCCCCTGTGAATAGTTTCCTTTTAAGCTGGATTTCATTAAAATCATGGGAAATTTACATACGTATCACACAATTTTTATCGATTTATACTCTAAAATATAAAGTTTGGTATTTTCATTTATAACATCTTGGCACCGTAAATCTATGCATAAGAAGATGCGATTGATATTTAAAAAGTTAGTAAAGTGATATTTTGATGGGATATTGAAGATTTGAGAGTTATGAATGTAAATGTTAAAGTTTAAATGTTAGATACGTAAATAGGTAAGAATTGTGTGGTTTATATTTAAATATACCTAAAATGATTTCAGGCTCAGTAAAAGGTCACATGAGTACAAAAGTTGCTTGTGATATATTTCATATACAGGAACATGCGTTGTTATGAAAGAAATACAGGTGGATTTTCATACAGACCACTTAATTTCTATGTATTTACATATCTAACACCCAGACTTCAATTTTTACATACATGCCACCTTACCCATGCATAAAAAAAGGTGTATTTCACTTTTTAAATGTTAAAATTGTGGTATTTTTGTGTTATGATAAATTTGGGTGGCACAAATGTAAAAAATAAAGTTTAAATGTTATATATGTAAATATATAGGCATTAGTTGGTATGCATGTAAATGCTCTAAATTATGAAAAAGCTTTCTCTGTTAGCTGCTAGTTTCTGTGTGCTTAGTTGTTATGACTTGCAGGAACTTGATTATCTTGTCGGGGCTGTTTCGAATCCGAAGCGACCTTTTGCTGCCATTGTTGGTGGTTCAAAGGTTTCAACAAAGATTGGGGTGATCGAGTCACTCTTAGAGAAAGTTGATATCCTTCTTCTTGGAGGAGGAATGATTTTCACATTCTACAAGGCACAAGGACATGGTGTTGGTTCCTCTCTTGTTGAGGAAGATAAGCTTGGTCTAGCCATAGCTCTTATTGAGAAGGCAAAGCTGAAAGAAGTGAAACTCTTGTTACCCTCTGATGTCATCGTGGCTGACAAGTTTGCAGCAGATGCCAACAGCAAGGTTTGTTTAGTAATTTTTGAATTCTGATTATATATTTTGATGGAAGATTGATATCCATAACACTTAAATCGTAGGTATTTGCATATGTAAGGCCTAAATTTCGTTTTTTGCATACATGCTACCTGCATGAAAGGGTGTATTTCACTTTTTAAAAGTTAAAATATTGGTATTTTTTATGTGATTGAAAGATTTGGTTGGTATGAATGTAAAAAAGCAAATTTTAGGTGTTAGATATAAAAATACATAGAAATTGGGCTGTATGTATGTAAATGTTACTATAGACAGGCTAAATAACTGTAGCCATACGAAATTTTGGCAGCCATTAGGAAAAGTAAAAACTGTGAAAGAGATGATCTCGAACAGGTCTAGTAACAATACAAATTTACGTTAGCGCTTCAGTAAAAGTTTTCAAAGTCATAGATTTGGAGTTCAATCCTCGCCTGCATCATAATCATAATAATCTGAGAACATTTGGGTACTTGAAAAAATAAGATTTACATACATACCACTCAATTCTTATGCATTTACATATCTAACTCCTAAACTTCAATTTTTAAATTCATACCACCTTATGCATGAAGAGTTGTATTTCGCTTTTTGAATGTTAAAATAGTGGCATTTTTTTGTGAAATGAAAAATTGGGTTGGTGTGAATGTAAAATGGTAAACTGTCGGTGTTAGATTTGTAAATGCATATAAATTGGATGGTATGTATGTAAACGCCTAAATAAATAAATAAAAGCTCAATCTTTGAAGCCTTCATATGTGTCGCTAATCCAACTCTTTTATTTCTCAGGTTGTGCCAGCATCTGCCATCCCTGATGGATGGATGGGCCTTGACATTGGACCAGATTCCATTGAGACATTCAATGCAACTCTTGACAACGCTAAAACCATTATCTGGAATGGGCCCATGGGTGTCTTTGAGTTCGAGAAATTCGCTTTTGGAACAGATGTGAGTAAAAAATTATTATAAAATTATAAGAAGATTTACATACATATCATATAATTTCCATATATCTCTGCATGTCTAACACCTAAAATTTGAGATATTACCTTTATAACACTTATGTATGAAACTGTGTATTTGGCTTTCCAAAATGATTAATAGTGATAATAGTACTATTTTTTAAGTGATTTTAAAAATTTGAGTATTATAAATATTAAAGTTTAGGTATTGGATATGTAAATATATAGGATTTATGAAGATTTACATACATACCATTTAATTCTTATGTATTTACACATCTAACACCAAAACCTCAATTTTTACATAAATAATATATTACTTATGCATGAAGAGGCGTGTTTCACTTTTTTTTTTTTAAGTTAAAGTGGTGGTATTTTTTATGTGATATGAAAGGTTTGGATGGTATAAATGTAAAAAAAATACAAAATTTAGATGTTAGATATGTAAATACATAGGAATTGAGTGGTATATATATGTAAAAGGTGAAGTGTCAAAATAATCCTCTTACTATTTACATAAGGTAGTTTTAGTCACTGTTTATAAAAGTGTTAAACTAGTCCCCATATTTGTTTAAAGGAGGGTAAAAAAGTATTTAGAGGGGATTATTTCAGTCAATATTAAAAAATATGAGGATTAAATTGAGATTTTTATAAATTCTAAGACTAAAATAACCCTCTATAAAAAGTTGGAGGATCATTTTGATATTTTTCTTGACATGTGAATGCCTTCATATCAACTTTAAAGCCTAATTCTGACATTCTGCTTAATCATCTCAGGCCATTGCCCAGAAATTGGCCGACCTTACTGGAAAAGGTGCCGCAACCATCATCGGCGGCGGCGACTCTGTCCGTTGTTGTGGAGAAAGCCGGGCTTGCCGATAGGATGAGCCATATCTCAACAGGCGGTGGAGCAAGCTTGGAACTTCTGGAAGGAAAATCACTGCCTGGTGTTCTTGCCCTTGATGATGCTTGAGAACCAAGCTGGCCATTAATGGCTTTTTATTGAGGGAGTTTTGTGAGTTATTTATTAACTTTAAACCTTCTGGCAGCTGAGCTGCTGCTCTTTTTCTTGGTATGTTCTTATAGAAATAAGTGGAGGGACCACTGCTTCTGTGTTTTAATATTGAAGGTTTTGTTGTTAATGACTTTGATTAAGAAATGTGTGGAAACAACAGTTTTGATGAAATACTTCCAACACTTTCTATTTTTTTGGGCACTTTTACATATATGCCCACATAATTCCTCTGTATTTACATATCTGAGACAAATATATATATATCACATAAATAATACCATTTTTTTAATTTTTAAAATATGAAATATATCTTTTAATGCGTAGATATTGTGGCATATATGTAAAAAATAAAATTTTATTGTTGGATATGTAAATATAATGGAATTGAGTTGCAGGTATGTAAAACTTCCTTTCTTTTTTTTTTTAAGTGCTTAGACTGGTTCAAAAATCTATTTTTGGGAAAAATATTAGGTCAGAGCTCCAGATGCATCTAGAGTTCAATGGTGAGGCGTCAAGTATCAAGTGGACCCCACAAATTTTAACACTGATCAATCCCAGTGTTTGCGGTAGGCTCACTCGACACGTGGCGTCCCACCATTAGACCCCGAATGTAAATTACGCCCCGAGTCCGAATGTAATATTTGCTCGTGTTTTGAACTGTTGTTTTACATACATGTTTCTGGATTTTAATTTTATTCTATCCTATTAAACATTAAAATTATTTTATATGGAACCAACAATTCTCTTTACAATGACACAACATTTGATTCAAAATTAAGATTTATAAAACTGAACCAAATCAGTCTTCCGATTTTTCTTATTAAATATATAGCGAAAAAATCAAGATAATCCTTTTGTTGTTACTTTTAGCCTAAAATGAAGATTGTTTGAATTCTAGTCTAAATAAATCTAAAATGTGTTCAGTAAAACTGAATCATTCTTTATGGGCTTCCATATTGATTATTGTTCGATTCAATATATATTATCAAGCCCAAGCAACTTTTAATTTGAGCTTCAATTTGATTAATTAAGTTAGCTAGAGTTTAATTTTATGTTTTGCTCCTTTGTTATTAATGTGTGAAAATAATTTTAATTCAAATAATTATTGTAATAACATGAAAAAAAGAAAAAATAATAATAGAAATAGTTTTATTAACCATTCTCATTTTTACAGAAAAAACTATTACATCCTGATGGAATGCATACAACTAGTGACATTCATAATAGTATTGTGATATTATTACACCATAATATCATCAATACTACCATAAATATCACTAATACTAAAAAAAAAACACCACCACCCACATCTAATCTGAATGAAGCCCATCCAGATATAATAATTTCTTCTTTCCACAACCATCTCCTCAATACTGATTTAGGTACAACTAATGATATTTATGATAGTATTGATTTTATTGTGATATTATTACATCGAAATACCAACACTAATACAACAATATCATAAATAACACTAATTATTAAAAAAAAAAAAACATTATTCGCACATCATTTAACTTGAATTCCTGTTTGGTTAAACTGTAGTTTGACAGCTTATGGGTATTATAAACATAGTGCATCTATCTTCTAGATAGGGTGACAGCTTCCTAATAGTGATCTTGTTTTTCCGAAAAAATAAAAAATTATACTACCACTACATATAGGTTACCACCAGATTATTTTGAATTTATCAGCTTCATAATCGCCCCTCCTGCCGCAGTTCGGAGAAGCAGGTCGACGTATCCGCGAGTCTGCGTTCGATAACGCCGGCGAGCGGTCCTAGGAACGGGTGGCGCGATAAGTAGAAAGAACCCTCCGAAGCCATGGAGGAGCAAAAGGGAGGCCAATGATATTAACGACAAGTGAATTCGTTGTCGATGCGCTTGCTCACGCCATTGCTGATCTGCGGTGTGTAGGTGAGCTTAGGTCATCACTCTGTCTCTTCCTCCTTTCTCTTTTTGTCTCCTGGATTTTTGATTAAATGGTTTTGCTTTCATTTTTTGGTTAAAATCAATAGGAAAGAGGTGTTTGCTGGAAGTATTTCATCGGTGGTTCTGTAGATTCTCTGGTATACCCGCTCTGAAATCTAGAGGTAAAGGGAGGTCGTTAAATCTCACTTGTTTTGGTTGTTAAATTATAGATGTAAGTCATTTTGGTACTTTGGCTTCATAGTTGCTGTTCAAAGATTTGTTTAATTAATATAGTTTAAATTTATACAGTTCATGCGGATTTAAACATTTAGGGGAATCCATATATATTTATTTATTTAATTTATTATATCACATATTTTATTTTATGAACATTTTAATTATAATTTGTATTGGAGTTATATTTTCAAAGAAAGCCTGAATAAAATGTCTGGGGGAGGCAGGGTGAAAAAATTGCAAGTTCAGAAATTAAATAGCATGGAATCTGGGATACTATCAATAATGTTTTGCAAAACAGCAGCCAAGTTTGCTATTTTTGATGATTTTTTACATTTTTTTTTGTAAATAAATTTATATGCTGCTTGATTTCAGGTGATTTAGACCATCTTTAGATGCCTTGATAATTTATGTTATGCCTCTTTGTGTGTAAAAACAGTGCATTTTGTAACTTTAATTGATAGAAAAAGTAATATTCAATCAACATTCCCTGCTTTTTTTTTTTCATGGAATTAGAGTAAGGTCCTTGACGAACACTTCAAAAAAATGACTGATACTGTCTCCCTATTCCACAGCTGAATGGTTCTTTCCAATGTCTCCCTCATCCTAAGCATGATGGTTGTTTTTGATGTCATCTCCTTCTTTAAGTCAATGGTTTATTGCAATCCTTAAATTGCTAAAAATAGTTTGGGAGTGGAACCTGTCAACTTCAATGGAGTTGATGAAGGAAGTTTCGTTGAAATTCATTGAAGGCACAATTTCCTTGGATTTCTCAAACCCTTCTCACTTTCGTAGCTTGGATCATCCCGTGTTTAAATTATTCCCAAAGCCTTTAAATGTTGATAATCCTCACTGCCAAAATCAAAATTTGTTTTATTTTGATGGAACAACTAAGAATCAACACCTACTAATGAAAATTTAATTTTTCCTTGGATAAGATGCAGTGATATGGGTCCATAATGGCTTCTCAAGATTTCGTAATTTGATGTTGTCAATATCGTTATACGTGTCGATCAACTGTTGAGGTTTGTTGCGAGATTTGATGGATAGGTTTTCACAAAAGAACGCAATTTTTTTTTTCAAAATAAAAGGGACGTTGCTTCACAGAACCAAGAGACGAACTTTGTTGTAACCTATTTAACAAAATTTAATGTATCATTTTATGTGCCATTTTGCTGATTTGGGGCTATCAAGAAGACTGAGGAATGTGAATGAAGAAGAATCGGTAATTTCTTGTTGGTTTAAATAATTCATTTTCAATCATTTGTGGCCAAATCCTTTTGATACAACCTTTTCCCATCACCGGCAAAATCTATTCTATGATTTTTCAAGAAGAGAAGCAAAGCAAATTAATGGTCTCTAAAGAGGCCAAGATGGCTGATGCATGCAAAAAACATTTTCCCCTTGGAAAGAGAAATCATTTAACAAAAATAAGGGAAAGTTATACGACATCCATTGTAATGAGAACAATCACATGATTGAAAGATGTTATCATTACGAACTTTACTCGTGGGCAATATCAAAAACTTTGAACTCTATTAAGCATTTGTAAATCTCGGCCCAAATTAAATGCTACATAATTAACATTTGCCCATTTGCCTCTTTTTCACATCTTGGCTCAAAAAAACACTTTACAAATGTACTGTTATTAGTGGTGCTACATATTACATTACTTCATTATCTTATTTATTACATTAAAGTGCACCTTCTCCTTATCCTTGTGAAGGTTTATGAGTGGAGGAAGGTCATAAATAAATTCCATCGGTTTTGTTGATTTTGATTCTAATGTTTCTCTTGAAGATATTGTGTCAAGCGGGGTCATAATCAAGCTAAGTCGAGGCAATTATATTGTGGATTGAGCTTAACTTGGTATATTATAAATTGTTCATGTTCCACTGGAGTTTGAGTTGAGATTTCGCATCTATGTTAATATGTAATTTGTTAATATTTTTTTTTTATGATTGTACTTCACTTGTATTTTACTTGTCTATATTAACTGAACAAGCACTTCAATAAGTTAATGATTAAGCTAAAAATTCAAATAAGTACCCAAATTTTCATTTAAAGTTAGTAGGAAATAATCTTTTGAATATGAATAAATGAAAAAGTTTAATAAATTTCGATGTTTGCCTGCCACTGTAGCGGCTTGAAGTTGGTCTTGTTATCAATTAGATGTTTAGAATGTCTTTCTCCATATTGGCATTGTTAAAAAGTTCTAGATGCTTCCATAGCTTGGTTAGAATCGATAGTAGGAGAATTTGGCTTGTTGATTGAATAAATCATTTTTTGGTTTGAACCAAGCTTCAAGCAATTGGTTTCAGAGTTCTCTATAACCAACCATTCAACAAGTTGGTTTTCAACATTTTAAGACAAATTAATCACTTTTTTACGAGTATGCGAGGATTCTTTATTACAGTGTTGATTTAGGTGAATAATATGATCATAAAGTGAAATGATACCATAATTATAGAATATTTGAAAAAATTTCTAGACGATCAATTTTTAATTAAAGATCTTGAAAAAGTAAAATACTTTATTAACATAGAAATAACACATTCACAGGAAGGGATATCTTTTTCATTATATAAGTACATATTAGATGTACTCGATAGTATGTTTGATATCATTCTAAGGCTCCTATAAGATATTTTGAAAGCGTCTTTTGCGAAGTGATGGTTATGGAATAGCGAGGGAAGGTTAATAGGTGGGGTTTACAGTATTTGGAAGGGATTATGGAGATAAAACTGTTGTTGCACAATGGATTTGATGTCATTGGTGGCTGTCTTGACTGAATGTAATGAAGAAAACTCAGAATGAACGACATTCGACCGACGAGGAGATTCCACCACTTGTTTTCGAGCAAGATACAAACTGACCAATTGTGAAAGTAGGATAAAACACACCTTAGGGTAGAAACAAAAATCATAATATCTAAAATACTCAAAATCAAATCAAAAGACTTCTGAATCAGAATATAAATAGTTTCTCAAGTAAGAACCCCTACTTAGAAATAAGAAAAATTGAAAGTAGAGAACAACAAGTATTTTTCTCACTAAGTGGGGTCAGCTACATGAATCCTTTCTCTCCAATGTGTCCTATTGAGTGTCATTTTCATTTAATTCTACATTTTCATTTAATTCTAACAGATTATGATCATTTTTTATATAATAAGCCCAAGTCTTTTTTAGGTCTATCTTTGTTTTTCTTAACATAAGTCGAATCTAAAACATTTACTCTCCTAACAGAATCACCAGATGACCGACATTTAATGTGATCAAACCATCTAAGGCGACTCTCTAATCTTGTCTGCCACTGGAGCTACACCAACCCTTTCATAGATACTTCATTTCGCATATTGTCTCTAAGTGTAAAACCCCTCATCCACCTAAGCACTCTTATTTCAGCAACACTTAACTTTGTTTTATGCTTCTCTTTTAAAGGCCAAAATTCTGCGCCCGCGACAACGCATTGCAAGTCTCACCACCATCTTATAAAATTTTCGTTTTAGTCTAAGCTATACTTTTCTATCACACAATAGGCCCGATGTATTCCTCTACTTCAACAAACCAACTTGAATTCTACTGATAATTTCCTCAATTATATGACCATCAATTTGAAAAATAGACCCGAGATATCTAAAAAATTCATACATTTTAATGATTTGATCACCAATTGTTACAACTCTGCCACTAGAGCTATTACTACTAAATTACATTCCATACATTTAGTTTTAGATCTTCTCATATGAAGGCCTTTAAACTCCAATGTAGACCTCCATAATTTAATTTTTTCATTTTTCTCTAGTCTTATTCACAGGTAGGGTATCGTTAGCGAATAGCATTCACCATCGTACATCCTTTTGCAAATGTCCATTAAGAGCATCCATAACTGAAATAAAAAGTTATGAGCTTAAACTGGACCCCTAATCTAATCCAACTGTAATAGGAAAATACTTGGTCAATCCTCCTCCTGTTCATGCACAAGTAATGACTCTAGTATATATATCTTTGATGACTTTAATATAAGTCATATCAACACCTTTCTTCTTTAGAACTCTCCCAAAAATTTCTCTTGGAACCTTATCGTAAGTTTTTTCTAAATCAATATAAATTATATGAACATCCTCCATATCCTCTCTGTACTTCTCCATCAAATCTCTCAATAAATATATAGCTTCCATACTAGACTTGCCCAACATAAATCTAAATAGATTATGAGAAATCTTTGTATCACGTCTTAACCTATGTTCAATTACCTTCTCTTAAACCTTCTCCCTTAATTTTAAAGTATGACACATCAAATTAATTTCTCTATAATTTGTACATTATTGGGCATCCACTTTATTCTTAAAAATGGGGGACAAAATACTCTTTCTCCACTCGTTAGGCGCCTTTTTGGTTTTTAAATAATATTAGTAAGACAAGAAACTCACAAATCTCCTAAATATTTTCATACTTCAATTGAGATTTTATCAGGTCTTATTGATTTTCTACCCTTGGTTTTCTTTAAAGCTTCATTAACTTCTTTTTAACTATTGCAATGGTAAAAATAAAATATTTTATTATAATTAATGATATTAAGATAAGTAAGGTCGATCGTATTTTCAAAAATCATCGAAAAGTTTTTCAAAATAGCTCACTCACCAGTCTTGAATATCTTTTTTTAAGAAAACACTTTTTGATTTTCATTTTTAATACACTTTACTTGAATTAATTCTTTACTTTTCTTTTTTCTTTGTTTGACTAGTATTTTTTTCACCTTCTTTAGTATTTAATTTATTATAAAAATCTCTAAAAACATAATTTTTAATGTCATAAATTGTTCTCTCAGACCCCTTTGGGGCCACATTATATTTTTCTGAATTTTTAAGTTTTTACGTTTAAACCAATTTTTATAATATAACTTCTTAAATTATCTTTTCTTGCACAATATTCCACCATCAACTTTTTTTATTTATAATTTTTTTCCTTTTTATTCTCCAAATATATCTTTTACCACTTGTTTAATAGTATTTGTTACTTTATTCCGCATAGAATTCGTTTCTTCATGAACGTCCAAAGTCTTGAAATTTTGAAGTTTACTCATAAAATAATTCTATTTGTGGTTTAAGTGCCTCCATCTAATTCTATTACAATGATTCATTATTATTTTAATCTTTCAACTCTTAATTTTAAAATTCAGAACTAATCATCGATGTTGAACACTTAAATTTTCACTTGGTATGGTTTTACAATCTTTACACTCTCAACGACCTATTTTTCTTATAAGAAAATAATCAGTTTGTGTTTTATTATATCAATTCTTATAAGTAATAATATGCTAATCTTTTTTCTTAAATAAAGTATTGACAATGACAAAGTTACAAACTAAAACAAAATCTAATATATTTTTTGCTTCTTTCATTAATCATTCTAAAATCATAGCCATCATGATTTTTTTTAAATTCTTCTATCACTTTTACAAACATGTCTATTTAAATGTCCTCTAATAAAAGTTTTTGTATGATTTTTTATTAATTCTTCTAGATCATTCCAGAATTATTCCTGTGAACCTATATCTAAGGCTCCGTTTGGGGCAGCTTTTTCGCTGCGGTGACGTTTTGAAAACACTTGGGTTGTGCTTGTTTCGCGCGTTTCACCCGCTCATCACAAAAAGTGGACTAAATTTGATATTAAATGTGGTTGCGGGCGATCCCTTGTATCCCAAGCTTTTCTTTCGGACTTATACTTGCATGCCCTTAAGCACTGCTTCGCGAGAGAGCCGCCGATCTCCCGTTTCAGAAGCCTGAATCCACCGAAGAAACCACCTTCTTTGGAACCCAACAAGAAGGTTGTTTGAGAAATCACAAACGACGGATAGGAAGACCACTTGGGTTGCTGGAGATGAAGGTTGTTCCTCTTTGCCGGCCGGACGTTTTTGCCGGAGAAGCCCCCAATAATGGAGAAGATCTTCGAAGAAACTCTAGGAGGTAATTTTTTTCTGAAGGAATAAATGCTTTTTTAAATTGAAGTACAAAAAGTTTTGTATGATTAAAAACGACAGATGGAAAACCAGAAAAAGAAAGTTACGGAGGGGCGGCAAATTGGTGTGCTTTGAGTATCTTTTCTCAAATCTCTCTAATATCTATTTATTTTGTTTTTTATTTGTTCATTTTCAAGGGAAATATTTCTATGTTTGTTAATGAATCTATTGAAAAAGAGAACATCTTATGTTTTGATGTTGCTCATATAATTTTTTTTTGTTTGAGTTAGATGCATAGCAGTAATGTATTAGGTGTTTGATTCATATCAGGAAAAAAATGTTAATGTATGCTTGATTGATTTTCCTATTGTATAATTATACTTTGTTTAAATGTACAACTTAGACTGATTTACGAATAACTTTCATTTATTTTATATGCTTCAGAGATATAAAACAACTCTTAATATTTCTTTAAGATATTCTTTTCCCAAATATATAAATTTTATTAACTTATTGATCATATCGGAGCTTCTTGTAAGAACTTTGGTATTTTTCCTTCCACTATAATAAACATAGAAATAATAGGGTGTACATCATAGTTAATCAAACATCCCAAAATCTTAATGATCTCATCACTAATGTTCACATTCATCTGTCATAGTATTCTCTTTGGTTCACATATATTCTTAGTTTGAAGATAATAATATATGTATGATGGAAAACTACATGTGAAATGGTCGTTTTTTTGCATCTAAACTATCAAATATATAGCTATGACAGTTCTGTTGCAAACAACACTATTGCACAGGTACATAATGGTCATTTATTTAGAAACAACTCTAAACAACCACCCAACTTATCCGAATCAGCTACTGATCAACAGCTTGTCTAGATCAGCTGCTTATCAGCTGATTATTGATAAGTTGTAGCTGCCCTAAACCTACTTAAGGAGCATACGCATTTATAACATTAAAATTCTTAGCTTCAACAATAGTTTATAGGGCTAAAATTCTATTTCTAATATTATTAATTTTTACAATATTATCTTTCAAATAATTAGCTATCAATGTCCATAGTTTTTTTTCCAACTAATCTAGTTTCTTGAATACATTAGATCTTTATCTTCCAATGAATTATAATATCAATTAATTTCATTAATTTATCTTTTAGAGTACCTATATTCCAAGATATTATACTAATATTAGTTTTATGAACTAACTTCCTTATTCGCATCCGTCTAGCTAATTTGAATTTACTCCTGGATGCCAGTGTACCGGCTTTTGCACACTTTAGATAAGGATTTAAATGATTCATGTCATGTTTTTTCAACAAATTTTACGCTAGCTGTCGAATACCTAATACAACCGTCCACTTTTTCTATCCAGGGCTTGGAACCCGGTGCTCAGTGCTCTTGTTTCTAAAAATACGAAAGTAAAGAAATAATAAGTTAATCAGAAGGAATAAAGTATCATGAAAATAGGGAAATTTGGACATCTCATTCGGCTGTCCTGTAGAATGAATCGTGATCCGAGTCATCCGCGATCTTGTAGAACCCACAGTTCGCGGGAATTTTGCCGAGACGGATCACAAAAAGTTTGTTTTTACGCTCTCGCGTCATTCTATTGGGATAGAAGGTTCTTCTTTCCTGAAAGGATATGGATCTTGCTGTTGGGTTTTCATTCCCACAAAGCTTCTGAGGAAATTTTTTATGTTGTAGTTCGCCTTTTTCGTCCGACCTCTCGTTTCTATTTAAAGTGATGACACGCTGGATTGCTCTCAATGGTGACAACCTAGAAGGTAAATTGAAGGTCAGAGAATTATGAAACTCCGCTAGTGAGGGGCACTGCCTGAGCTATCATCTCTTTTATGTCACTATCTTTTAGCATCACCAAGACAAACTTCACTAGTGCCTCTCGTAACTTGTAGAGATTTGGCACGTGCCACTAAATTTCTCATCTTTGTCGGAGTACCCATCACGACTAACTCTTTCAACAATAGAAGTATAATACGCTTATTGTCCTTGATTATTGAGTAGGTGTTTTTGTGACTATCATGAAGTGTACCCCTGTCATAGTACCATGGTCAACCTAAAAGTGTGCCATGCATCCATAGACACAATATCACATCAAACATGATCCTTCAGATTGTCTCCTATAAAATATTCTACGAGACATCTTCTCTCAATTGTGATTTTATTTATTTTCTTCAACCGCGATAGAGAATATGATTGAGATTGCTTTTGCATAGCAAGGATCAAGTTATCCACCAGACATGTTGATGCCATATTTTCACAACTACCTCAATATATAATGAGAGAATGCACACCTTTTTCTTCACGACATAGTGGGTACAAGATTTGTATTGACAAAAGGTGTTTGGTGGAATTTTTAATTGGAGATGAGGTGTAAGATTAAGTTTTGTGTGATGTCATCCCTATGGATGCATGTCATATTCTATAAGGTCGACCGTGGCAGTACAACAGATGTACATTTCATCACGGCCATAAAAATGCCTTCGCATTTAACAAGGATGGGAAACACATCATCCTTCTATCACTAAGGGTGCAACAATGACTGGGACTCAGATAGAGATTGAAGCCATTGTGCCTCGTGCTACCTTTTTATAGGCTATGAGAAAGCCATTTGTGGGACTGACCATGTGTAATGCTAAAAGACAGTGAGCTAGAAGAACTAATACCTGAAGTGGTGCTACCATTACTAGAGGGGTTTCAAGATGTCTTGACACGCAATATGCCTCCTAGTTCAACATGCATAAACCTTATCTCACGATTAGTGCTTTTCAACCAACCAACCTATAGGATGCGACCGACAAATTATGAGTTATAGAAGCTGGTTGAGGACCTAATGTCCCAAGTATTAGTTCGCGAGAGTGCCAATTTGTATGTTGTGCCAGCTTTGATTGTGCCAAAAAAATATGGATCGTGGTGCATGTGCATGGATAACATGCTGCATTAGAAAAACAAGACCGTAAAAAATTTAGGACTCGTAGAAGTTATTTGGTAGACGGCTTTCACAAAGAAGTGATTATAAAATAGTGAGGGAAGGCTAATATGTGATATTTACGACATTTGGATGGGATTTCAAGGATAAAGTTATTTTTGGACGGCATGTTTGACTTTGTTGGCGGTTGTCCTAGCTGAATACAATAGAGAAAACTCTAAATCACAACGTTTTGGTGGCAAGGAGATTGCACCACCTGCACCTGAGCAAGATACAGACTCACCGCTTGCGAAAGTAAGATCATACAATACTCCTTATGGTACAAACAAAGATTGCAAACTCCAAAATACTCAAAATAAAATAAAAAAATCCTTCTCAATAAAAAAATAAAAATAGTCTCTCACGTAAAGATCAAACTTAAAAATAATTCTCAATAAAAAAATAACAACATATAAATAGTCTCTCACGTAAAGATCAAACTTAAAAATAAGAAATATATGAAATAAAAAAAATAGTAAATAAAGGAATAGAAAATAAATAAAAATGAAAGAAATATGCTGAAAATGGGGAAAATTGATCGGCTTGTTCGACTGCCCTATAGTCTGAATCGTGATCTGGGTCGTTTGCGATCCCGCCAAACCTACAGGTCATGGAAACCCCACGGAGACTGGATTGCAAAATCTTATCATTACGTTCCCGCGTCATTCTCCAGAGGTCGGAGAAACTTCTTTTTCTTTCCTGGAAGAACTTGGAACCCACTGTCGGGTGTACTTTTCCACAATGCTCTTAAGGAGATTTCCAAGGTTGTGATTCACCCCTCCCATCAGACTAACAATTTGTGGATGCACGGTTGTACTAAACTAAAACTCAGTACCCAACTTATTCTATAGAGCCATCCAAAAATTGCAAAAAAAAAAACTTCTCATTTTTATCGAAAGTGATGACATGCTGAATTGCTCTCAATGGTGACAACTTAGGGGCTAAATTGAAAGTCATAGAATCTTGAAACTTCTTTAGGGAGCGTCGCACCATCTCAAATTCCGTCTCTTTTATGACACTATTTTCTAACATCACCAGGACCACTTTCATTGATGCCTCTCTTATAGCCTATAAAAATATAGCACGGGCCATTAAAGTTCTTGTCTCAGTCGGAGCATCACCCAACATGACTGACTCTTTCAATGACACAAGTATAATATGTTTCCTGCTCTTGATAAGCGAGTGGGTGTTTTTGTGACTATCATGAAATGTGCCCGTCATATTGCCACAGTCAACCTAAAAGAACGTGGCATGCAATCATAGACACGACATTGCACCAATCGTGATACTGCAACTTGTCTCATATAGAATACTCCATGAGACATTTTCTATCAATTGTGATCTTATTTTCTTTCTTCAATCAGATAGAGAACATGGTTGGGATTAATTCTGCTTAGTGAGGCTCAATTTGTCCACAAAATGTGTAGATGCCATATTTTCACAACTGCCTCCATATGTAACGAGACTGCACACCTGTCTGACAACAATTTTATCTCTGCATTTCCTTTCAAGTACTGTAAATCCCACGTATTAGCCTTCCCTTGCTATTTCATAAATTCTATTCACAAATGTTGCTTCCCAAATACCTTCTGGAAGGCCTAGATTTTTTTGGGTATTGTCTTTTTTGTCAAAATCTAAAGTTCTAAAATGAAGTCATCACCATACCGAAATCATTCCTACCATAATTCTTAGCCTCAACTCTAAATTTTCAAAGTTCAACCTGTTCACTTCCACCAAAATTTTACCATGACACCTACCACCAAAATCTAAACCCCTCAACCCGTCTTGATTTAAAATCCTATATTCATCGAAAACCTGATCGAGAGAAAAAGACACCATGCCGCCAAGGAGTAACCCTCAGCGAAGTGTCCAGAAATTTGATATGGAGGATTGTAGTCGGAAATCTTCCAACGACATTAGAGGCTTGCCATTTTTGAGAGGAGTCAACTAAGTGAGATCACCCATAACCGCAAGGGGCTCCTCGGATCGAGAGGAGGAAATGAATCCCTTCCGCCAGACTTTTTTCAATGGCAAAAAATCAATATCTCAAATATTCGTCATGAAATATCAAAGGAGAAGCGAGGATCTTGAACTAATGAATTTATCAAATTTCAACGGTCGCATGGATCCAACTAAGTTAATTGGGTAACTTGAAATAGTTGAGCAAATTTTTTTGAGTACGAAGTTATTCCGCAGGGCAGAAGAGTTAAATTGGTAGTCATTAAACTTACGAAAAATGTTTTATTGTGATGGGAGAACCTGAACTGTATTCGACAACGAAAATAGAAGAGTAAAATCGTCATGTGGTCAAAAATGAAAATGGAAATGCAATGTTAATTTCTTCACCTGCATTACCGATAGGAGGTATTCAAAAATTTCCGTAAACTATGCCAGTGAGACACTTTTTTGGATGAGTGTACACAACTGACTTTGATCAACTCATGCTGAATTGTGAGTTAGTGGAACCAGAGGAGCACACACTTTCAAGATTCCGTAGGGGATTGAGGTCATCAATCAATAATGTGGTTTAGTTATTGTTGTATTGGTCCGTAATTGATATACATACCCTAGCACTGATGGTGGAGAAACAACAATGTCACCAGATGGCCACACCTTGATCAGGTAGCTGGGGTACACATAGAAGAGCATACCAGCCTACCCTGCTAGAGGAAAAATCAATTTAAATGTAGGCCTGAAATTATTGTTTTGGTATTAAGCTGCATGGTTTTGGTTATCATTTACTTTAGAAAGATTTACATACATGCCACTCAATTCTTTTGTATTTACATAAATTTTTTTCATGCATGCCCACTTACCTATGCATCAAAAGGTGTATTTCACTTTTAAAAGTTAAATTAGTGGTATTTTTTATGTGATATGAAAGATTTGGGTGGTATGAATGTAAAAATAGCAAAGTTTAGGTGTTAGATATGTAAATAAATAGAAATTGGGCTGTATGTATGTAAATGCCCCTATTTATTTATTTATTCTCTAGTCATTTCTTTCTCAAAGTTTTCTATCACTGCAAGTGTTGTTGAACAGTCAAATTATAGCTACTCAAGCCCGCCTTTAATTTCATAGATTGGTTTTGAATGCTCGTAATTTTGGAGCGTAATTGGTTGTTATTTTCAAGCAGAAAATGACAGATACTACACCAACCACTACCACCATGATTGGAGAAGCTGCGAGTTCTGGTTGGATGCCAACTATTAATATGCTGTTTGATAGCGAAAATAATGCATATGATTTCTATAATACATATGCCGAGAATGTCGGCTTTTTTGTTAGAAGATCAACCCTATGGACGACATCAAAAAATATTGTGACGAGAAGGACTTTCGTTTGCTCGAGGGAGGGTTTCCGAGAGAAGAAAAAGGGGGCGAAGGAAGTGAAGTCTCCGAGGCCCGAAACAAGGATTGGTTGCGAGGCTTGCATGACAATCAGGCTCACACCTAACGGAAAATACCGCGTAACGGAATTTGAAGCAAATCATAACCACCCCCTTGCAACGGCCGCATCAATCCAAATGTTGAAGGCCAAGAAGCTAAGGCGGAAGGCTCGTGCCACACGAGTTAATTTGGTAGATGACTCGGTGAAAACTCCGGAATTCGAAACCGAAGACGAGGCTTATGAATTCTATAACATGTATGCTGGAAGGATGGGTTTCACTGTTCGACGAGCAAGCATGACAGTAACGGCTGATGATGTTATTACGAGAAGGATGTTTGTATGCTCTAAAGAGGGCTTTCGAGAGCGGAAGAAAGGTGCTAAAAGGGTGAAGAAGCCTCGCCCAGAAACGAGAACAGGGTGCCCAGCATGTATGATCATCAGAATAACACCTGGCGGCAAATATCACGTCTCGGAATTTGTTACGTGCCATAATCATCCACTCTCTGCCCCTTCGTCTAGCGACTTATTGGTTTCACAAAATTCTGAAACAGGTGTTCTTGATGATGAATCGGGCATGGCAGATGTCTTAATGATGACCCCTTTGTCAGCCGATAACCCTTTCAATATGCAAGCTCGAACCGCTCAGGATATTAGTATCCATTCTGTTGACAGTAAACATATTAAATCCGTGCTGGTTGGAGATGCCGGGGCTACCCTCGAGTATCTACAGAAAATGCAAGAAGAGAATCCATCATTCTTTTATGCAGTTCAAGCTGATGATGACGATAATTTGATCAATTTTTTCTGGGCTGATGCAAAGTCTGTGTTGGATTTCAACTACTTTGGTGATGTGGTCTGTTTTGACTCAACTTATAAATATTTTGGTTATGGCAGGCCATTTGCGCAATTTATTGGGGTGAATCATCATAAACAAGCTATAATATTTGGTTCCGCGTTATTGCATGATGAAAGCAAGAAATCATACAAGTGGTTGTTTGAAACTTTCAAGAATACAATGCATGGAAAACAATCTAAGACGATTTTGACAGATCGGAGTGAATTAATGACTGAGGCAATAGCTGAGATAATGCCCGGCACATTTCATCGGTATTGCGTGTGGCATATTTACCAGAACACACTTGAGCAGCTAACCCAGGCATTTCATGGTTCGAAAACTTTAGCGAGTGATTTTAGTCGATGTCTTTTCGATTATGAAGATGAGGATGAGTTTCTCATGGCATGGAGAACAATGTTGGAAAATTATGATCTCAAAGATAACCAATGGTTGGCCAATCTATTCGAAGAGAGGGAGAAATGGGCATTGGTTTATAAACGAGAAGCGTTTTATGCCGATATGAAAAGCGTTCAGTTGAAGGATAACTTGAGCTGTGAGCTAAAAAAGTTTCTTTCACCTGAAATAGAGCTTTTTCACTTTTATGAGAATTATAATAGACTACTCGATGAAAGAAGATTTGCGGAATTACAAGCTGATGTTCATGCAAGTCAAAATTCACGAAAATTGCCTTCGATGAGGGTGTTAAGACAAGCTGCAGAGTTGTATACGCACGCTGCATTTAAAATGTTTGAAAAAGAATTTGAGTTTTATATGGATTGTATGCTATATAGTTGTGGCCAGATTGGGACAATATCAGAGTATAAGGTAACCATGGATGAGAAACCTAAAGATCATTTTGTTAAGTTTGATTCACTAGATGGAAGTGTTACGTGCAGTTGCAAAAAGTTTGAGTTTATTGGCATTCCATGCCATCACATGTTAAAGGTACTTGATTCTAGAAATATTAAAGATTTGCCTCAAGAGTATGTACTCAAAAGGTGGAGAAAGGATGCAAAGGTTGGTGCTTTTGGTGGAAGCTGTGACTTTCTATATGGTGGGAACCCCCAAACATTGACGGCAAAGCGCTATAACTATTTATGCCGCATCTTCAGTATTGTGGCTTCTAGAGCTTCGAAATCTTTTGATGCTAGTGCATTTATTGAGAGCCAGTCGGACGTGCTTATGGAACAGGTCGAGCAAATTTTAAGAGTACGAACTATTGAGATGTCTTCTTTAATCAATGCTTCGTGTGATCGAGCGCAAAACTCAGTTGAATCCATTGTTATTGGAGGCTTCCGACATGACAGGGTCAGCCAAGGAAGTTTTGTGGGTGCCACAGCAAATGGTATGTTGATATTATGATGAACATTTATTTCTATATTTATAGTATTTGTGTGTTAGAAATTTATATGTTGTTTGACTTATTTTGATTTGATTTTGTTAATACGGACAGATAATATAAATAGTGTTTTGTAAGTGTTTTTGTTTTAAAAAATAAATCAAGTTTTTTTCAAAAATACCCAAAATAACTTTAAGGCTACTTGTTCATGTGCATTGAAATGCTTTTTTTTTTATTTTGTAGCTCATTCAATTGTAGTCTCATTTTGAAGGTTTATAGGTTGTTTTCTAAGATTGAAGTTCAGATTTTAGATATGTAAATACATATGAATTGCATGGTATGCATGTAAATCTTCCTTTTTTTCCTTGGATTTCTGGATCTAATCTCATGTTCATTTTTTTTTCTGGGTTTAAACTCAGGTTTTCTTGGCTCTCGGCTTTCACACCCAACTATGTGTTGGGGACAGTTCCCAGCTGGTCCGCCTGAGCAATGAAAAGCTGCTCTTCTGTAATAATATTCCGGACTTTCTGCTTCCAGTGTAATTCTGAAAACGCTCTTTTTGTTGAACCTGATGTCCAAACAAGCAATAAGCTCTAGTTTTTATTCTCTATAAAAATCAAGTCGGTATAAATATCTGAAATGAATTTAATAGCTTGGTCTCCACGATTTATTTACTTGAGAGGTCATTAAAATGTTGTTTGACTATGCCAGCATACTTCTAATGTGCAAATCTTGTTCTCTACAATGATAAAGTAGCAATTTGATAATTTGAAGAATGTTATCTACATTATGTTTATTGCTGGTATTTAGCAAAGTTATTTTTAATAATAAGTGGACAATTTTTGTGTGGTGTACTTTATTTGTTATCATATTCTAAATAACCGGTCATTTTACTGAATAAAACATAATTGAGCAATTTCTTTTCTTCAATATGTTATCTGGTCTATTGTAGTAACCCTAGTTGTTGCCCTCCACCTCTCTCTCCTCCTTTCAACCTTGTTGGTCACATGTGTGTTCTTTTGCTGATTTTCTTTGCAATCTTAGGGTTGAAGTTGAGAGATATTTTCATTATGGTAGGACTAATATCTAGAGAGATCCCAACATGGTTATCTCACACCAGTAACATCACGAATCTAGAGAAGCTGGTGAAAATTTTGTTTTAATTAACAAAACAATGCATGTATATTTATCAAGATTTTTTGTTGTCTTGACAAAATCTGAGTGAAGGGTTTATGACTTTAATGGATCAACCAACAACTCATTCAAATTTGCTTCGATTGTTGCTAAACTCTTACCGTTCTGCTTCTTTTCTCCCTCTTGCTAATGGCCCTGTACTTCAAGATCACCATAATTATGTAATATATGGACCCAAAGCTACAACAAGATGTGAACTTTCCTACAAAAATCAGGAAGGATTCCACTGAAGGTTGCCATTTCTATCCTATCCTTATCACCACTAAAGACCCGTAAAAGTTTCTCCCCAGGAATTTCACGTTTGAAGGTGAAAGATGCAATTTTGATGTATTCCATATCCCCAAAGAGCACTGTTGGCAATAAAAAGTTGGGGTGTGTTGAGTCACTCGTAGGAAGCTGTCGGTCGCCGGAATCGAAATCCTTAAGTCTAGAAAAATATGAAATCAAACTAAAAATATCTTTTTGAACTACTTGTTCTAAATTGTAGTCCATTCATCTTTTTCTGAGTACGAATCTATTGGAGTGATTGACTCAGCTGAAATCATATTTACAGAACCTCTTTCAGGTTATTTTAAATACTATTTCGGGATTGTTATATTCCATTCTTTAAGGTTCCTCTCGAGCTAATCCTTGAAGACGAAACAATACTCTATAGTGTGTCCGAGCATTCTGTGATACGGGCAATAATTGGGTTGAATAATTGGGTTGATAATTGGGTTGATCCTTTTTGTTGAGCTCCTCTGACCTCTTTGGAGCTGGTAATCTGAATTCAGACTTCTTCATTAGACTCATAAATATCTTGGGTACTGCTTCGTCTTGGGCAGGCTGACCATACTGTTGCATACGCTGCTGTTGTTTATGTTGTGATGGTGGCTGGGAATCCTGACGGAAATCCTCTGCATATATCTTTATTGGTTGTTTTCTCTTGTCAACAGTTGTCACTACCCCGGATTTCTTCTCGAATATCCTGGTTGTCTTGGACTTGTCTGTTTTCTCATGAGAATCCATATGCTTGGTTTCTTCTTGCAGATTGCTGGCTTTGCTGAGCAGTTTTTCGAAAGACTTGATGATGAATCCCTTAAGCATAAAAACTATTGGCCCATGAATGTTTTTGAGTAGGATCTCAATCGTATGATGTTTCTGTAATTGAGGTTCACATTTCATGCTAAGGTTTCTCTACCTCAAAATATAATCTACTGGAGTCGGAGTCTCGTTAGGCTTAGGCTTTTGCTTCTCTATCACAAGATCTCCTATAGAAACATGGTGCTGCGTTCTGGCGAATCTCTTCACGAACAACTGCTCTATGTCGAAGAAAGTCTTTACTGATCTATTAGGTAATTCGACATACCAATCAAAAGCTATCCCTGATAAAATGCTGATAAATTGGCGGCAAAGCAATGCCTCTTTACCTCCCGTGTTGCCACAACTGACTCGGAAATGTGCTATGTGTTGTCTGGGGTTTCCAATCCCATTGAATATCTTAAAGTTCAGTGTCACAAAACCCTTAGGGTAGGAGGGTAGGGTACGACATATTCCTCCGGGTAGGGTCTACCCTTTAAAACCAATGCACCACCCTTAAATTGGGCTAAGACCTCCCGAACTTGCTCGACCATTTGTTTAAAATCCTTTTATGGTATGACGCTTTGAGTAGAGTCCCTCTTTTGTAGATCATCTTTGTTAGCTGAGGCAACTTCTCTTCTCTCATCTACGATCTGGATAATTTCTGGTTGATTAACTTCTGGAGAAACTAAATGTTGTTGTTGAGATTGTCCCAAAGCTGCAGCCATAGCAGTCATGGCCGCGGACATTTCTTCCATTCTATTCTTCATTTGGCTGATTTTTTCATCTCTCAGGAAGAGAGCCTTACGCAGCTCATCTACGACGTTCTCTTCAGTGGGAGGTTGAGCGTCGCGCGCAGATGTAACTGCTCTGATTTCGATAACATTAATATCCATACAGTCTTCTTCGAGGTATTCTTCAGATTTTTTATCTTCATCATCAACGGGAATTCCACGTCCTCGGGCTAGTTCCAAAATCTCGGCCTTGAGCCTTTCGACTTTTTTCTCAATTATTGCCCCTCGTATCACTTTGAGGTCCGGAGGCTTCTGTTGAACATTTCTATCTCTGCACCTTCTTTAACTGTTGTTGTTGTTATCATGTCGAGTACTTCAGGTCTCTGCTTTATGCTATAATTCTAACTCATAGGCTCACTAGATCGTATTGGTGCAACAACCCTGGGTATCCACTCCTCTTTCCTTGATGGTGATGTTTTGAGACGGAGCGTCTCGGCGTCTCAACAGAAACATCGGCATGTCAAAGAGAGGCATGCTTCCCATGGTGAAGACCAGATACAGTACTAGGCAACATGTTTATCCTTTTCTTTGGGATCTTAAGAACATCTTTATGGTTGGTGATTGGTGGAACTCTCGGACCCAGTCGTGACTTAATCGGTCGACGGCGTGCGAACCCAGTGGTGGTGATAGTGTCAATTCTGTTCCCCAAGCGGAACTTGGTGGGAATGCAAGGAGGTAATCCTTCAGCAGATCTGACGTCTTTTAATATTTCTTTCTTCATGCGAGGGGATATTGTACATCCCATCTGCTTAAGCAATTCACTGACTAAGCAACCCCTTTTGACAGCTAGTCTCTGAAACACTGTACTGACTCTGGTGAGAGGAGTAGACTTCTTCCTCTTTCCACCATGTCCATGAGGTGACGGTGGTGACGGTAAAGCAGGTAAAGCAGCGACAATCTTCCGGATACTTTCATGTCCATCAGTATTTACTAAGGGGTGGAACATACTCCCTCGCAAAACAGAGAAGTATCCAACAATCCCGATTCCTCCTGATGAGGAATTTCATCAATAGTCATATCTTCAGAAATCTGAACTTCGGCAATCTTGCAAACTTTTCGGCTACGGTTTCTCCTTTGTGACCGTGTTAACGGCGCAACTTTCGAACTCGACCCAATTTCGAACACTGAAAGCGGAACGATGAACTCCTCAGTTGGACTATCGAAGATCATAACCTCTTTTTCCTTAGCAGGAGCAGGAAAGTCAGGCTTTGTAGTTTTCAAAATGGCGGTAGTCTTTTCCTTCTTGTAAGAAGGGAAATCTTGTAGGCAATTCAGGTTAAACTCAGCAGACGGTTCCTAAACTTCTGGGGTGGTGACTTTCACGACCACGAACGAGACTTTCCCGAGAATGACCTCGAGGTCCTAGAATCCTGCCCCAAACTTGATGGTGGGGGCGACGTTACGAGAGTTATGGTCCGTTGGCAAGTTGCAGGAAATGGTGAGCGTCGGAAACGCCATCGCAAAAACTTCAAAAGAAAAAACCCTAGGGTTAGTTATCTTGGCCAAAGTCTCGTAATCATAGCGCGAGCACTACAAATTGACGGAGGTAGATCTGTAAACCGGGTAAATTTTATTTAATCGATGAAGATTTTAGTGAAAAAATGTATGAAGGCTTAATTATAATAAAGAAAATTTAAAAAGCAAGCGCAGCAAGACACAATTCGATTTAACTTACAAAATAACAAATCAAACTCGAAATGACACAAAAAGGAGAGTAAAGTTTAGGACCGAGTGCGAGACCGACTTCACAACGCACAATGCCACCACCAACACACCTATTGGGGGTTCGACCCCACATAAAAGATAAAAAATCCTTAATGGTCTCCTGAACCGCAAAGGGATTGAACAGATGCTACTGAAGTCCGAAAAGAGTTGATCGTACTTCCCCAAGAAAGAAATGGGTGAAGCATGCCAACGGAAGAAGGGTAATTTGGTCCAAGAGGGACATTGACACATTACCGATGTGTGAAGATAATATTTCCTGATTTAAATGGAGAGAGAAGCTATTCCACAGCGGAGTCGCCAGAAGCTGTCGACAATAAAAAGTTGGGGTGTGTTGAGTCGCCCGTAGGAAGCTGTCGGTCGCCGGAATCGAAATCGCTTCGTCCGCTTCGAAAGGACGTTTTAATTTCATATAGATTTAAGTCTAGAAAAATATGAAATCAAACTAACCTCACAATGTTCACAGTTTAAATGAAAGAACACTCTACCTCAAACTCTGTATCAATACTGAGGGATAATCACAAGACTTGAGGATGAGGTTCGATCAAATAAACTAAGAAATAAATGACTTCCGTTTGGTCTGCGAAACCGTTTTATTTGCCGACAAATTCCTTTATTTAATATGAAAAATTAAATAGGGTTTATTTTAAGCTGGGTTCGGAAAAATTTTCTATAAGTGCAACTCCTATAGTTAATTACATCTTAAATGACCGAAGTCACTTAAGAATACTCTCGATAAAAATCAGGAAAAATTACCTTCAAGAACTTCAAAAGGATTGAATTTTTCAACGAAATCGGACAAAGATGTGTGAAAGAGGAATGACTCCAAACTTAGAGCATTTATTGTAGAATCCAAAGGAGGAAGAACTAGGATATGTCACTGATTCGAAGGAAAACCTTAGATCATCGGTGACTTCCCAGTCTACTCTATGGTTTGGCTTTAGTTTCGAGGAGAAATTAT